CCCCAAAACCCCAAAACCCCAAAACCCCAAAACCCCAAAACCCCAAAACCCCAAAACCCCATAGGATTAATTTCAAATTGATGAAAGTTTGGAATGATTAATTTCTTTAATCTTGTACCGCCTCAGCTACCAAAAATTAGATCTTTAGTGTCTCAAAGCCCATTTCCCGCTCTAATGGAGGTCTCTTGAGGCACAATGGTTAGCTATGCTAGTAATCCCGTAAACCCAATGAAGATAGTGTATGTTAATTCACATGGACGTGATTTTATCCATAACAAAATTAATGTGATGTTTAACCACCGAATCCATAGAGGGTCTTTCCTTGTCTCTTGAGAGCGTAGACTACATCAAGAGCGGTGACAGTCTTTCTCTTGGCGTGCTCGGTGTAGGTGACTGAGTCTCTGATGACTGACTCAAGGAATCCCTTGAGGACAGCTCTGGTCTCTTCATAGACGAGGGATGAAATTCTCTTGACACCACCTCTTCTAGCTAATCTTCTGATAGCTGGCTTGGTGACTCCCAAGATAGTCTCTCTGAGGGCCTTCTTGGCGTGTCTCTTGGCTCCGACCTTTCCGTAACCTTTTCCTCCTTTTCCTCCTTTTCCTCTTCCTGGCATATTTAATGAATTATTTATTTAAAATTTTATTATTTTGCTGTTTAAATATCAAACTCAGAAATTGGAAAATCTGAATCTCGAAGAGATTTTTCATTCTGATTGGCTCCTAGAGATTAATAGGACAAATTAGCACTTTTTCAACGAAATTGGCACTCTTCCACATTCCTTGGCTCCGAGAAAACTATGCATTAGGTTATAGGAAGGGTTATAAGGTCAGGAAGGAGAAGGACTGTAGAATTCCTACCGCCTTCTCTCGGCTCCTATGACACTGGACATCCCTATGGAGGGGCAGTCTTACTGATATCCCTATGAATAGTACTCCATTATGACCAGATATAGGCTAGAAGTCTCCTTCTGAGATTTCTGGGTGATTAAAAAATTTTGTTTTACTCAAAAAGAAGAAATTTTATGATTTTCAGTGCAGCTACTTTATTTTAGGAGAAGTGTGTAACCAAAGTGCGCAATCATTGGTCGAAAGGTTTTTGATTTTCCAATCAATTTTCTTCATTTGAGAAATTTTCCTTTCAAGGAGTAGAGGTCTGATAACCACTCCATAGCCCATCAAGCATCCAGAAACTATCATGCGCCAGACCTAATAAGCTCTAAGCATACAATTTATATGGCTGGGATAGTAAAATACCCTCTAGTAGTTAAATGAAGAATAATTTACATTTTCAATAAGATGAACTACGGAGAGTTAGTGTGAAGTAGTAGCTACGGGTGGATCCTTGCACACTAATTAACTATTTGTTGAGATCAACAAAAATAGTCTTCCAGTATTCTATTGAAACCCAAACTTAGAGTTTGGGTTTACAGTGACCTATCCCACCAACTGGATTGGATTACTGCTTTTAGAAGCTGCGTCCAGTACGAATTTTCTTGATAGCCAAAAGAGTATAACTTTTGTTCTAATGTTGAGCTTTCATGAGAGAAGAATAGTCTGCTGCTTCTGAGTCTCACCAACTATTCGATGAATACTTGAATAGTCTTGATAGTCACCAGACTACTATCCTCTGGCAATGCCATTGCATGTCAATAGCCTATCTCTCCATTGACCCTACTCTCCATTCTCCTGATCCAAATAAGCCACTCTTGGTCCTTATCCTTGCTCTAAACTCTCAGAAAACCTTATATCGTCTCTATTCCTCCATCTTCCTCTGATTTATACTCTATTCTGTATCCTCTCATTCTTTTCCCTAAATTAATTTTTCTCAAAACAATTCATAAATTAATTTTCCTCTAACTCAATCATTAATTACTACAACGGGGTTTTGGGGTTTTGGGGTTTTGGGGTTTTGGGGTTTTGGGG